TTTTTTAATGAATCCACCATGAGATACGTATAATTTTATTATAAATGAATAACTGAATATGCGTTCCACCCTTAACGTGTCTGCAGGAATTTATCTTTTAACCATTGGGATATATGGCATTAAAAACTACACTTCTTAATTCAACTTTCGTTTAAATAAATATTACCACTACAATATATCTGTTAAATACGCATTCATTTTGTGTTGTTTTAGGGGTAGTTACGGACATTTTGAATGATAGTTATTAAATTACTGGTGTTAAAGACTCGGGATATGAAATCTGATCCTTTCCTAAGGTTGGGCCCCGATTCTGAATTCCAAACCCCGAAACATTCCGAATTTCCTACCTAAAAAATTTTAAGTTTTAAAAATAACCTGAATCTTAAATTGTAATAATGTGGTTTTATATGTATCATCAGCCTTAGTTTGATTGAGTAGTTTTGGCGTGCAGTTTCTTGGGTTCACTGGCAGTGATCTGGCGAACGAGTGTTTGTCTAGGGGTAGAATGCGAGCCTTCGGTCTTTGTGGTCTTGGGTTCAAAGCCCGCCAATCGCCAACTATTTAAGTTTTGTCATATCAGCCCCGAAGTAATGTGTTACAGTTGCATGCTATAAGCCTATTATCAAAGATGTAGAGGTAGAAAATTGAAACAAACTAAGATTTTTTCTTGACTTAGGTCTTCTTCAGTCATGGATAAAGTTCACTATAGTTTCTATGTGCTGGGTTGGTTTAACAGATTGGTAACTTGAGAGGCCGGTAGTGAGATAGTGAAAGAACTGTTGGAGAATTTGGGGTGTGAGATACTCACAGGGGTTACAGTTACAGTTGTAGGTTAGTGGAAAGTAGTTACTGTACTAAAGAATGCGGTGCTGACGTCAGCAATCAGCTGTTTCTCCTGGGAATGCAGAGATTAGGTAAGTAAGGAATGTGAGCTATAATGTTTCTAGAAGGTAATAGATAACTGGAACATTTAACTTGTAGCAGGGTAAATTTTAAAGTTATAGTTTGTTAAATGTCTAAACGCTCTAAGCTATTTCTAAGACTTGAATTTTCAGGCAATTATCTTACTCGGGTATAAAGATTATCATAATTAGCTTTCTTTGATGTTTCGAAAAAAGTACGTTGAAAAAAGCATAGTACAAAAGGAAAGGACATACAAAAGGAGTCCACTTCGTATATTATGAAAATACACAATTTAAAAAAATGTTAAATTATTTTATTCCGATTACATTCATTTTTCATATTCCTGCCTTCACACTTTACGTGGACTTTAGACTTTTGGACATATTGAATATTGAATAGTTCCTAATAGCAGTATCATAGCTTCGTCAATGTTAACTATTTAAATATGATTACAGGCTTATCTAGGCTTGTTTTAAGCTAGCTTCAATGTAGTTTTGTCCATATTATCTGTTTCCCTACTTCCATTCTGTTCTAGACTTACTTTTCTTCTCGGCATAATATTTAGCAAAGGTTATGTAGATACTAAACTGTTTTACCACAATTTATTGATATCAAATTCTTCAGATTTGCTTACAGTATTTTCAGTTTCACATTCATCTCAACGTTAGTTGTCTGCCTCTTTTTCCCAGATTAATTATGTTCTCTTCTCTTGTACACATTCAAATTCCTCCGCTTCACATTTGAAACGGTCAGACATCTCTGATGTTGGGGTCGGGTCTTGTCCAAGAAGATTTCTGATTCAAGCTCATTTCCAATTAGCTCAAAATATTTATTTCTCGGGAATTAAACCGATTTCCTAAACTGCCACATTATTTTATGTGTGCACATGGTACCTTAATTTGCGCTTTATCCGCTCAACGCCCTTTTCACATAATCTTGTATTAATCATGAGTTACAAACATACAACTAAATATCTTCACATACTGTACATATTGTGGAATTTTTTTATCAACAGCACTGGTAAAGTCATAAATTTCCCAATGTGGGAACGTTTATCATCAACTTCATAGGGTGGGCATTAATTGCGCCAACTGGCCTGAGTCAGGTAGTCGGGTATTCCTGAATTGCGCCAGCTACTCCACGGAGCCGATACGTTCCTTAAGCATAGTGGCCGCCCTCTTTCACTGTATAACTGAGTAGGTTAGGTTAAATTAAGTTAGGTTAGGTTGGGTTAGGTTAGGACGACACGTAAACAAGGACATTCCTTCACCCAGCAACATCTAAGAGGATTGGGCTGGGCGCAACAAAGGAACATTGTTGGGACCCTTTAAGGGTCTGGAATATTTTATGAACTTTTTGTAACAATTAATGCACAACCACTTCGGAAAAACATGGACCGTCTGTTTATATAAAATATGGTTTTAAAAAAAAGCAGAATTGGAATGCTGTTCCCACGCGTTCCCGTTCCACTACACCACTGAAACAGACTGGTACCCCTACTGTATAACTTACAGGCTGATTGATGGAACTAAGCGTCACGAGTGCTGTAGAGCCGGACCACACATGGCTTACCAAAAAGTTCTCACTTTTGAGATCAAATACCTATTAAACCAAACCTGCCTTTGTAACTGTTAACACCTAAGTGTTTTGTGAATACACGAGTGCTAAGCTGTGGCCAATGGTAAATCGGTGTATTTACGTTTTATTTTTTGTGGACGTACCAGAGAGTGAGTTGGTCTAGTAGTAGAGTGCGGGGTTTTGTCCCCGAGGTCTTATGTTCAATTCTTACTACACATCAATAGCTTTTGGCTATGTGATAATGTCACAATCTTCTAGGCCTAGCGTTAGTAATGTGTAAAATAATAATCGAACACTTATAGGAATCTATCCTCAATTTACGTAATTAAAAAAAACTGGCATTTATATGACAAATGTATTGGATCATTTACGCTCACGCATTTTTTAAATTGTTTATATGCAACTACAAAATTAACTAATGTCTTGTTGGGAGTTTATACAATGAAGGAGCAAAAACCAAATTAAATAGTTTTAAATGAACGTTCAAAACCGTCCAGCAATAATAAATCATAAATTTAGAATAATTTAATCAAGAATTGTAGATTTTTCTAAATGAAGTACGACGCAAAATATGATTTTATATACTTTGTGATGCTTTTTACTGTCATAATTCGTGTCATCAGCATTATAGACCAACACAAAATACAATCGCTTAGATACACCAGGGTGATAATGGATCGGTGATTAGCGTCACTGTCTGTCAATGGATGATTAATCAGGATTTGGTGTTTGGGTCCCACTAAACCGTGTTAAGCATTATGCTTGCTTAGAGGTTCATCTTTTTGCATCTTAATAGCTAGTTGATATCGTTTTTCTAATCATTCAATTGTCTTAGGGAATTTCCACAATAGGAAAGTAGCCACTGCCGTAAGTCTAATGGTAATATGGTCTAATATGCTCTAATATGGTCGAATGGTGTTCTAGAATAAAGACTAAGACGATTTAGACCTGGGACCGGTTTACTGATTCATTTTGTCGTATACAGTGGTCAAAACGCTATTTGTTTAAATTTTTAAATATGTTTATATGACTGTGTCCGTAAACACGCCATTTTGATGACATTTGGCATCCAAGCTGGATAAACTTGGATAAATTCTCAAAACAGCAAGATTGGGTTATGGCGACGGGGCTTTGGAGGGGGTTTGGCGCTTTTCCAAAATAGTTTTTCTCTAATTTGTTTCCTTTAAAACTTGTAAATGTCTAATTTGTATTGCAACCACCACGTGGAGCTTAAAAATGTGTTTAATATAACGTTGTTATGCAATTATTTGTTATGGATAACATAAAAAAACTTGAATTTTAAATTCTTAGGTTATTTTATGTAATACAAGAAACTGTAGTTTGCTTGCTTATGAATTTATTTTGATCTAATTCGGAAAATGTATTTATTACATGAGTTTAATATTTATAAAAACACGTGTATGTACTACTAGCTAATTGGTAAATTAACATCGCTTCTCTAGCAATTTACCAAATTTGTGTTTGTAGTGTCAAAGTACATGTTCGTTGAATAATATTCCATTTAAAACAACTATCATTTATGAGGCCTAAAGTTGAATTTTTGACAAGAGTTAAGTGTACCTTGAGTCCTATCTTGGATAATGAGCTTGGTTAAAAAATGTTTGTAGTCTTTGAAATTTGTTATAAATATTGTTATTCTGTAAAACTCTTTTAGCTATTATAGTACAAAGCCGACATATCAAGTGGGACTAGGTGTAATAAGTGAGAACTAAGGAACACATGCGTCATCTTGACGGATGGGACGTGTTGTAGTGATTCGTCAAAAGTGACAGTCATATAGAAAGTGTTATGATGTAATTTTACACATGACATTGTTAGAAAAAATAAGTAGCAAAAGATCTTATTCATTAAGATTATCAGTTGAGATGAGGAAGTGCTCTATGTGTGTATTTCAAGGATTATTGTTGGAGAGTGATGCCTTTTCTACCAGCTGTTTCATTAGTCAGAATTGTTTTATTAAGGGATAGAAAATTAAATTATTTAACTGACTTTTGTAACAATATCAAGTAAAAATTATCATTTTGTAGCGTTCCATTAAGGCGGCCTTAACTCCAGGCCACGGCGTTCGATGTGGCAACACTGTCAGTAGTGCTGTTCAACAATATGAATAGCACGCGATTAAACGAGAGAGCGTCTCCTTCCTGACATGTTTTGCTTATGGGATATCTGGCGCTAGACAGCACTACTTGCGACGTTGCCAATTCTACCAGACCGCGGCCTGGAGTTAAAGTTGGCTGTGGTTCCACCCAATTTTAATCAAGAAATGAATGTCTTTTAAATCCACTTCACACGGAATCCCTATATTATTATTTTTTTGTTAAATAGTGCCACTGCCAATAAGTTCTTAGTTTGGATAAACAGTATTGTCACAATTTATAATTATTGTAACATTTGTTTCATATAGGTTGTAGTGTCTCGTTTCATCAACCACTCTTCACATAGATCCACTACTAAAACACGAATAATTTCAAAAACGGAACATAAATACAAAATTTGGATTTTATAAATTTTATTACAAAACCTAACCTAAAATATCAGTCATACTTTGGTTTCTTTGTACTAACAAATACACTAAAGAGATAATACAGGGTGGACTTGACTAGGAACTTGACTACAAAATAAGCTAATACTAATAATGGTGAGAGGACTGCGGCGACGTCTAGTAGCAGGAACCTGTACCATGGGAGGTCAGCGACCCTTGACCTCAGCCGAGGGGCACCGCGGTGGCGGAGGACGTATTCTGTCCAGTAGACAGCTGTGTCCAAAGGGGAGGCGAGGCGGTCGCGGAACTCTTGGGAGAGCCGGCGGGCGTTTTCTTTGTAGCTAAAACATAAAAGAAGGTAATCAAACTCAATACTCCTTTAAAATCTCTATCTATAGCTATGGTTTGACAGATTTATCTTCATTCAAATGCTTCTACACCTGGTATTTTTTTATTTTTAGAATGTATAATGGCCAACAATGGTGTCAAAACCTTCATGCATAGGCTTCCACGGTCGTCACTCATACTCAAACAATCTTGGTCTTCGTCTAGGATTCGACCTTGTATCTTGGCTTTGTACAGAAACTACCGACGTTTCGGCCACATTACAGTCGGCCATCTTCAGGGCGATCGAGCAAGATTTCAAAACGGCGTCAGAATTTGGTGACGAATGATTCAGTCTCAGCTTAACCCATAAATACGTCTCTTAAACGAAGGACGAATAGTCTGACCGCAATGACGTGGTTATCACTAAAATTCACTACATATTCTAATAAAACCGCCCTATACAATCTGAATGAAGATTAACAGAAGAGCAGAAGAATTGTTGGTTGGACAACAAATGCAATTATTTCAATTAAAATTACAGCACTGCCACAGCTATAGTACGATCTATTGTGCTAGTTTCTAATAACACAAATATTACGTTACGTGATCGTGATATTCTTAGTGTTGAACCCTTATTTAGACTGTTTTAGGACTATGTCCTCTTCTAAAATCCTTCAAAATCCTTAAAATCATGTAGATACCTGCTTTTTGAAACAAAGTAGCTGAGTTTGTGCTTGTCTCCAAGTTTTAACTGTCAAGAGAGCTATACTTCTCAATCCTATGTTAAAACTGTACCCAGATTAAAAATAATAATGAAAGCAGTGGATTTGAGACGATAGTGTATTGGTGGCAATTACTTCAATTACCACCCATTGTAAATGTTTAAGTTTATTAAGTTTTTAAGTTCCTTTTTAGTGTCTAGTTTATGTTGGTGACCCTGATCGCTAGAGTCAACGAAAATGTGTTTCCATTATTCGGGTTAATTTAATGATTTGTGCTTCACTGGTTGGTTACCCAACTAGAGGACGAGTTATTGTTTATGATTAGATATTTAGATATTCTTATTTGATTAAAAAGGGCTTAAATGACTGAAAAAACAAGAAACAAATTGTTAACAAAACACGACATCTACAGTTCACAGGACGGAAGTAACAATAAAACTGTCTTCGGGTGATCCATAAGGATGAGATATCTATGGGAGTATGGTTTATCTATGCTTAAAGTTAAAAGCCTTGGCCTAACACAATTTAAAAAGAATCTTGTTTCTTGTAAGGCTTACATTAAACTACTGTGTTTAACATACCTAGGGTCCTGTAACACCTGACGCAGTGCTTGCGACACGCTCTCTTTGGTAAGTCGCCTAACATCCAACTGGACAGCTGTTCCTCGCAGCACAAGAGAACGAATGTTGCTGTACTGGTCTGAGAAGAGTGGAAGCCCCACCATGGGTGTGCCGGTGTAGACAGCTTCTATGGTACTGGACTGGCCACCGTGTCCCATGAAGGCTTTTACATTTGGGTGTTCTGAGAACAAAACGTAATGGTCAAAATTGCCCAAACATTTAAAAAAAGACTCTTGTAGGATGTAAATTACGCACTTATAGTTGGTCAGTGTTTTTTAAATAAAGGCCAACCCTACATAACAGGGATGATAGCTTGGAAACAACATAAAATTGTGATACATAAAAAACTCAAAAACATTACAATTTGACTTGATATAATAACTGGTACAACATTGCCACTTCACCTTACCAATGTCCCATTTATAGTTGAATATTATTCATAAAAGATTAATTTTCTATACAAAGAGTATAATTAACAACTGACCGAAGTCACCCCAATAGTTAGAGACATAATAAATACTCATGAAATGGAATAACTAGAATTGTAATTGGAATGAAGCTGTTTTTTTTTCTAAGGAAGGAAAATTACCAAATAAGCCCCCAAAACATACAGTAACTTTAAAGCTCCGTTGCACACAATATTGCAACCAAAATTTGATTTTGGATCATCCATTCTTTTTTATGCTTTTTTAATCAGCCTACCTAAGATATCCCTCTGAGGCAGCCATCTTCTCAACATCACATTGCTGGGTTTGTCTTGGACATCCTCCTCGAACTTGAACACAACTTTCTGTGGAAGTTCGGCGAAAGCATCCATGAGGGCCTTCAGAGAGCTGTTAGGCATCGAAGCGGATCTGACAATCGATCCAAGACTGAACACCACAACTCCTTCAGTTGCTGCGTCCAGGAACTTGCGCAGATCCTGTGCAAAAGGAATTGTAGAAGACATTTTATATATACAAAACTGGTTATTTGTTGTATCATAAAAAAATGTTGTTAAAGTACCAGCAGTAGCCGTCGCCAACTGACATTAATTCTATCTGATGGGTAGATGACGAAATAATTGCGTGGCCAAGTTTTGCCCGAAAAATATATCTAAGACACGGTGACAACTTTATAGACTTATTTTTTACATTGATAATGGTGTATATTTGCACTTTAGAGTCCTTGGACGATTTAAAACCGCTGCTGAAGAATTAAGTATCATCCAAAAATACTGTTTAAACACCAAAGTACGATACTTTAATTATCTAGGATACTGTGGGATCAGAAATTGTTTTCCAAGAGAGTCCATGGATCCAGCGGCCATTTTGGATTTGCCCACCATAAGAGCAATGTTAATTTATTTAATTTAAAAGTACAATATGTATAATTTCCAGTAAGTATAATTTCCACTGGAGAGTTATTTACTTTTTTTAAATAGTTTTTTAAAATACCAAAGTGATTATAATTTTAATATCTAGTGCTCTGAGGGACTAGAAATATTCTTTGTAGTTTTTGTTTTGTTTTATGAGTTAGAGGGTCTAGGCTCCAAGGACTCTTGACTGAAGTGTTTAGGTTTCTCTTCAGAATGCAAAAAAGGTCTTGATTCTCTCGATACGTTTTAAATAAATACGCTTAAGAAGAAGAATTTTACTTTTGTTCATGACATGTATTATTATTACTACTATTAGAGGTTAATTGTAAGAAAGGACCATGAGGTCCTTAGTTTGCCGTAATAAAGAAACATTTTCATTTCATAAGAGCAGATCAATTTTTTTCCTGAATAAAACTGTTTTCTATGAACAAATACAATTTCCCCACACATCTTTATAACGTAATCAGAATTTAAATAGCTGACAACATTATCTTACAAACAGACTTAACGTCAATCAATACACAAACAAAACCTACCTTCGGTAGAGGTTTTGGGTCTTTCACGTGGATTCCACCCACTTCAACAAAGTTTGGTACGAACGGCCTCGACTGGAGAAGGGTGAAGTGACTATTGACCATCACTAAAGAAGTTCTCTTCATAGTCTCGACCGCGGAAGGAGCCTCTGGGTCAAGATACTTCCTCACAAAAGCGTCCGACCTTTCGTAATTCAAAGGTCCGACTCCCACAGTGGAAAACAGCCAAGCCGCTGTGTTCACCGTCCTCTGGTAGATATTCATGTCTTCGTCCACGTTCAGGAAGTTGTTGATGACGAAGGCCGGGTGGTCGGGGTTGCCTACCCTCGGGTTGACCCATGGGAGTGCCGAGCTGGTCACGAAGGAGACGATGGGTGTGTTGAACTTGTGTGCGAAGACAGAGAAACACTCATAGGTCCAAGTGTGGGCGATGACGAGGTCGAAGTGTGCCGTGGAGTTGTAGAGGTCTCGAAGCTCTCCGGACTTGAGAACTCTCTCACACATTCGAGTACCTGCGTCCCAGATCTCCACCATGTTGCGGAAAGAATCCTTCCCCATTTCGGTGGCCTAAACAGAAAGGTAATATGGTAAGCGTTTATTTGTTTCGTGTACATTGAGGTTAAATCTTGAGTCAACTAACTGTATAGTTTGAGTGGTAACGCTTCCAAGAACTCCCTAACATAAGGTTTTCTGGTTTTACTTACAGTGAAGGTGTTGTACTAATTTCATAGGATTGCATGCATACATTGGGAGCTATGAATGAGTGAGATGCAATGCTAGTTTTACATAAGGCTATTATAGGACTACACTTTTGGTTAAACCCCATTCGGTACCAACACAATTTAACCTTGAAAACTGTATATATTCTACAGTTAAAAATAGATTTAATTCACATATACAACGATCGTTGAATCTATTAGTACAATAAATGAAATTACGGGAATCTTATCAGTTGAGTTGTTAATGGAATTTACCAAAATTTGCTAGTTGGCAGATCGGGTTTTACGACCTCCAAAAATGATCAAAAAGAAAATGTATATAAATAATTAAGGATTATGTATGAAAGAGCAGAAAACATTGTATCAGATTTTCAGGGGTTTCCATTTAAAGCATGATTGCAATAATATACGATATAACTGTGGTATATAGTTATTTTGAAGAAAGACTATTTACAACTAAAGAATCAAGCCTAAAACAGTATCGTACTCAAATATCCAAATTCTCGATTGATGAGTTCTATGGTTTGGTATCGCGTGACTTTATGTTGCCAACAATTTCAAAAACGTAGCAGATACAATATCTCTTGTGTTTGGATGTTTTATGACAGTTGCATTTAAAAGTTCATGGAATCATTTTCTGTCCAATTACGTTACAATTATGATTTCATACCATACAGTTTTCTGTTATATTATCAGTGGGTGCTGCATAACATTCCTGATATTGTGTAGGCCTACTTTTACCTCCTCTTCCACTCAAGTAAATGAGCAAATACTCTTGAAACAACGAGAAAAGGGTGACTCATGTATTTATTTAAAACTATCTCTAAATTACAGTAGGAATAAGAATGTTTCTTTATAACATTTGTTATGCTAGGCACAACTTAATAACTTTGGTAATGGCGGGTTGATTCCAGGGTTGGCTAAAAAAAAACTTACATTAGGCTACATTTTAATTGAAAGACATTTAAATTATTCTTGTTTTACTTCATGCAGTCATGATTGCTGTACTACCGATACTCATTGGTGTAACTCATTAAACGCTCGAATGCAGCACTGTTCAGTGTTTGCGTATTTGAACAAAGTATTTAGTATTTGAAGAAGTTACTAAACAAACACATAATATTAGTCAACATGTATCTGTGATATTTTATAACTCAAGATATGTAACAGAAATTCTTTTGTAAATATCACGTACGCGTGGGATGGGACATACTAGTGCCGTCCAACATATACTAAGTCAGATATCAATTATTCATCCCAAAATCAATACCAGAACTGAGCGATGTTTTGCTCTGTGTTAGGTATGTTTAGTTCAAAATTCCAATAATAACGTTTGAACAGAAAAAAAACTAAAGTATCTACTACAAGTGACCTTTGCTTTCCCAGTTAAGTAATCTAAACCTTGTAGTGGTTGTAACATCTCTTAGATTTCTAAAGCTAATATGTCTCCTGATATGTCAATCGTTACGGAGTGCAAAGAGCAGTGGAATTATTTAAGAGTACGATATCGTCTGAATAGTTTAGAAAAGTCACTGAACTAAAGTCACTAATTGGCACTTGCTCTACATTGTTACATTGCCAGCAGATGAATTCCACGATACGACGAAACTATCTGAAACGGAATTTAGAATAATACACATCCCATTCCCAAAGTATTGAGTCATTGGAGCCTAGACGTTATAACTCATAAAAAAAATTACAAAAGTAAAAGAAAATTTCTAATCCCACAGTGCACTAGATATTTAAACTACAGTCACTTTGGTATATGACAAAATATTTTAAATGGTAAATAATTCTTCATTGGCTAATTGAAGTTAACAAAAATTAACATTTCTCTTATGGCAGGCAATACCAAAATGGCCGTAAGCCACCATTGGCTCCCTTGAAAACAGTTACAAAAGTACAAAGAAAAACTCTGACCCCACAGTGCAATAGATGTTTAAATTTCAATTACTTTGTAATATGAAAAAATAATATTGGATGATAAATAACCCTTCAACAGCTGTTTGAAATAATCCAAGATGGTCGCTAACCCCAAGGACTCTAAAATGAACGGACATAGCTGAACTGAGCCGCAAAGTGTATTGCTCTAAATTACTGGCATGTAAAATTACTTTTTTACCCAAGAACTTACAGAACAATTCACAAATCTTTGATATGTTATATCAAGAGAATATCAAAAGTATTTAAAACTATGATATAAAATAATTGGATTGTAACTACACGTTGTGCGAAGCTCACGAAACTATTTTCTATTAGAATAAAAACTACTTATATCCGTTTTGGTAATGATTTTACCCCTTCCTTTAAAAGTGAGTGGTGCCATAATGACAAGACTGAATATGGAACTGAACTAGCGATAAACTTAATATATTTTGAAAATTTAAATTCCCACTTCATAATATGCACTTACAGGGGTGAAATCTGGTCCATCAATAGAGCGCGGGACTTAAGTCCCTAAGTTCCCGGGTTCAAATCCCACCTAATCTCCAATGTATTTTTTCTAAGTGATAATGCCCCAACCTCTAGGTCTAGGAAGAGATCTGCTTAGAGCCTAAAGTCCAAAGACAAATAATGCACTTACAGTCTGCACGGAGAGGTTGCTCTGGATAGGGACGAGAAGATGTCCCACGGCAATGTCGTGGTAGTTTGGCGGAGGGTTCTTCTGCGGGAAGCTGGAGACTACGGTAATCTGATGGCCTCTCGCAGCCAACTGTAGGAAGAGTGGCTCCATCACGGTGAAGTGGGAGTAGCTGTTACTCACTGCAAAGGCAAGGATTTCTGCTCCTTGAGTAACAGCGAGGAAACAGCATAACGCCAGGCTCGTCAACACGGTCTGGAAGCAGTTGAGGAACATTGATAAATTTTTGCCTACAGTTATTTACATAAAATTTTTTAATGGGTTTTCAGGTTGAGGGTTTTGCCTAATACAATGTATCAAACAATGTATTGAGTCGGTTTTCGTCAGTGCCTTGGTTGGGTTAAGTGTTGTAAGCCTACATGTTAAATGTAGGCACTGTGTCTAAGGAATGTCGGCCTTAGTCACTGACAAGACTACAATTTGGCACCACTCATCCTACACTCATCTCCATTCATACTTAACACACCTACATTCATATGGTCACCATTTCAGAATAAAGTAGTATAAAGTATAGTGTTGTTCGTTCTCCATGCGTGTTACAATGTTAATATTTTTATATTTCTACTTAAAACTAAATAGTTTGACGTTACAAAGTTGGATATAACTTGTATTTGGATATATATCGTTTATAGTTTAACGTACTTCAAAGTAAACCAATAAGCTTACATAACTCATAGTGACCATTACTCTAAACTAAGTGAAACGTATATAAATAGTTAATTACACTCAATGGCCAAGAAAAAGTTACTAAATCAGCAATTATTCAAAACAGTGTTTTGAAAATGTAAGGGATTTTTCAATTAAATTTATGACTGTAACAAGGCTTCCACAAGGTTCATTGATAGGTCCACGTGTCTTTTTAATGATCTTTTAAATGTGATTTCTGAGAATGCTCTGCAATGCCATTTCTTTATAGTTTTGTTTTTTTTTTTAAATTGAGTGCTTGCCGTTAAGATAAATGAATAAACTTAGTACCAGAGGGTTTTTTAATGACTATTAGATGTTTGTTACCAGCTAGGGGTAGCTGGTAACAAGCCATTGAAATTCCGACTACAAAGCTGGACTTTGAAAATCTAACATATCCTAAAAAACTGCCGTTTTTGGCCTATCACAAAGTTGTATCAGACTTTAGTTCCTATTGCGCTGTACAAACCTCAATAATTATGGTAACCCATAAATGCGTTAAAATTTTCAAGAACACTCTAGAGAATTAGAAAAATCCAAAATCTTGAGATTGAGCCTCTTCACTGAATACAGGTGTTATAGTGTCAAATTTTGAGTGCACCTCCTAGTACAAGGACTTGCTAAGCCAGTGACTGGTGAAGTGTTAAACAATTTAATATAACCACCTTCCCCAATGACAACCTTAAATGGTGCGGTGTAGCCAAGGATACCACGGTGACACCAGCCAATTTAGTTAATAAGATGGAAATCGGACTAGAAGGCATTGAATGCCTAGAATGGCTTTTGAGAATGATTTCAAAGTACGACAATGTTTTATGTACTTTACTTTACCACTTTGAGTATTTTTGTGGAATTAGTTTAGGTTACGATAAGGCTGCCTTATCGTAGTAGACTTAAGATTATCAATGTAAAGACCAACCGTCTCCATGAATGACCGAGCGATTGCAATAACATTTACTCATGTCTAAATATAATAAACAGTTGTTTAAAGAATGCTTAGCTTATCAAGATTGACAAAACGAAACAAAAATCTAGTACATTGTTTGGGACGAAGAAAATTATTGTGTAAAGATTGTTCTAGAATAGAACTATTCATATTTCTATAGAATTATTGTTCTAGAATAGATGATATTTGAAGAAATACTTACATTCTATAGTCAAAAGAGGCTATGATGATCAGTTCTATCTCCATGTGTGCATTTTTGTTTGACAATAATTAACTGTTTATCTAAGTAAAAAAATATGTAGAACAGCTTTGGACACATAGGTTCATCGTGTAAGGGGGAAATTCTTTCCTTACATACATAAGCATTTGCTTATTTTATTTTAACTTCACAATTGGATTTTCATCTCAAAACAATTATTTTATAACATTAAATTATCGCTTTTAGATGGCAATATAAATAACAAAATCATTGCTATTTAAGCCTCTTTTAAAGAGGAGCCTTTTGTATCAACAACTGTTTTACTTAAGAGCTTATTTATATAAGTTCACTGCTGTTATTTAAATTACAATGATTAATGCCACATAACTCTTTCCTCGGTAATCTAGAAGGCACTATTTGATTACGTCATCCTTGTTGATTCGTTGACCCCCTTCATTGTTATACAAGATGTGCACGTCCTTTTTCAACCTGTTTTTTATGGAAATTTTCAAAACCGTTATGAAACAGGCCACTGAACTGACTAGTAATCGTAACACGGATAGTTCTGATTGTGCTTAAATATCAGTTAACCCCTGACTTGGCATCCGTCCATTAAAACTTATATAAATATATCACCAACAGCTTAACTTGAATGAGTTTTAATTGTATTCAATAATATTTTATTTATCTTACAATAAATATACTTATCACCTCAGAAGAATATTCATATCAATGTATATCAATGTTATCAGTGAAATCAAGATCAGTAAGATTGCCGATGCTTTGTGATGAACACCAAAGAGTTCTTACAAAACTTGTATTTTAGAAAAAACAATCGCAGCTAAATTATTGACAAAAACGGTCTTAAGTATCGAATAAAATTATGTGTCAAACTACATAGAAATATTGATTGAATTGTGCCTATTTGAGGTTCGCTACTATAGGCTAATAGCATGGGAAGTTTTAATATGTTATCAAGATTAAGATATTTAAGGTAAACCTGTTTTTAAATGATAAATGTCTTACGTGTTGTGAGTTTGACTACTGTCCTTCTTAGTACTTCTAATTGGCGCTTCATATTACCTTTGATAACTCGTTTACACTTAAAATAGTGAGTTAAATCCAACGTTCCCTAAATACCTGTTTTACCACCACCATGATTTTCACAAAAGCAGCAAAAGTTAGCAAACAAACAAATAATTGTAAAACAACCAAAAACACACATTTAACTAGGCAGTACCTTTATCAAGAAATGCAGTTTTTGCATTTAATTTAATAAAATGTCACGAAACTATTTGTTTTTTCATTCTTCAAATATTAACTCAAACGCCAAAATTTGTGTTATTGTATAGTTAGCGATAGCACTACTAAAAAAATGGAATTTTTAATGTTCCTTGGACTAAATTTAAATTTATTATGAACATGAATCGATAAAACTAAACAAATCGATTATGATTCTGCTTGGTTTTATTTCACGAAAGGGAATTAAATTACGTCTTAATTATATTAGTTCTTCCTAGAAAATTAATATTTTTTAACTCAATAGAGGCAATAACTTTCAAACATTATACGTACATAGCTATGAAAAAATGCATGAGCTCCGTTAAGTTGTGAGTTTAAATAATTAATCTAAGCTAATTGCATTTGAAATACATATTTATTTATAATCTTTCTATCTTTCATATGAAGTCTTACTTAAAGGTCGTTGTGAAAGGATCATCCGGAAATCAGCCAACATTGTCTCAACAGTCCAATGATAACAGTATAAGAAGTGTAAGGTTATCCGAAATGCTAATGACATAACTGATTGCTAAGTATTTCTGTTGGATAATAGTGCTGCGTACCATGGTGTAACTTACAATCAATATTGAAAGTAATTGAGTTCAAAATACTTTGCAGTATTAATATCAATTAAGACTGCTTCATACCCAAAAAAGTAATACAGGTTATTTATTTATTAATGACAACGGTTTAAGCCAATATATAGTTGACAAGGGGTAGACGACTAACAAGAATTGCATGTATAACAATATAGATAACAATTAATTAGAATTAGGTTGCAACAAAACAAAAGTCTTAAAAATACATACAATAATCCAAAGAATGACGGTTGATAAATTATGAATTATTGTAAGAATTTAAAAATATATTATATTAGCTTAATTTATTGTTAGACAAACGTAATCAGCTCTAAGTTTTCAAAACGTTTTTTCAATTTATAAAAGTATTTGTTACTTGAAATAATTATGTGAAATTAATGTTTCCATATTAAAGTAAAAAATTTTACAGCATTTTTGTTAACAAGTATTAAATCACTTTATCTTTGACATTATTATTGCACTTAAGTATAGAATAGAAGTATAGGCTTGATCTGTAGTACTGATGAAATTAGTTAGTATAATTGCTTAACATAAATTAAATTGGTGTTCACATTTAATATTTGTACACCTATTTGAGAAACGTTCATCAAAAATACTAAATATTCACACGTATCACTCTTTTAGACACAAACTATTTCATTTGTATTGTCACAGAATCAATATTTCCGTAATCAATGTAAAAGGTCGCATGTTTTAAATATACACTCTCCAAGGTTTATTCATTACTCTAATTACATTGATGTATACATCGCTAGTTTGTTCATTGATGTTTATAAAATTAATTAGTTTATAGATTTAACAAAGGATTTAACTTCAACCCAAGGTTTCCTGTATTTTGCACTTATGTGTAAAAAAAAGATATGTATAGGGGAGACCGGAGCACAATTTGCGCATTTTAATAGGGTTTAAAAGTTATTTCCAAGACAAAACAAATAGTGTTATGCCCTTCCTTTTAATAGGTTATGTTTGATTTTAACATGTATTAAGTCAGATCAAATAAAACCATTTTATTGGGCAAAAGTAGCAATAATACAGTTTGCATTAGCCAGGCCAGAACAAAACTACATTTACAATTACAATTACTACAGTAACAAAACGATTACTAATTCTATTTACAATAATTACATATTAGAGCTTTAAAACATTATAGGAATTCTTGGGCGCTGTCAAAAGGTGTATTTAACAATTTATGTTATATTTACGTGGCAGTTTGTTAGCTTTTATTAGGAAAATAAATTTACTAACTTACAAAAGGAATTATTTAAATATATATCTACATTATAAAGAGTTATTTACTTACCCCAATCGGGTTAGGATTATCAAAAGGGTAGTGTATTTGAAACCTGTGTTCATAAATTAACTGTTTTGCCTCTTGTTTACAATCTGTGGATAGGCCATCAATTGAACATTAATAACAACTTACAGTTTAAACCGGAGCCCATAAATGTAAAGTTTTTAAAATGACTATTCGCAGGTGCGCTAGATAATAAACTTTTAAGTGACAGCTCAATCTTTAAAATCGGTTAAGTAGGACGCCTGGACCAGGGATGTTACAGTGAAATAAGGCTAAGGGACGTTAGCCTTATGTTTTAAGTATATAAATAGTTATTATCTCTTTTATACAATAGTCAATTTCTAACTTCATGAAGTCGAGGTTCTAGCCCCCCATAACATACTAAATGAACAAATCATGAAATACAAATTTAATTAATAATAATAAATAAACAGCCTTACCTTATTTATATTCTGTCGTTTCATCTTGTGGCCAAACAGTCCAGTGAAAAATAAACACAAACAAACAAAAATCGTAAGCCTGTTTGCGAGGGTTAATAGTTTCGACCTGTACTAACCCGTGTCTCGACACAGAATAAGAAGGTTAGACTCAAATCCTATCGTACTATAGTGACCTCCCCTTATCATCCTCTCCCCACTCAAGTTCACAAATATTTAACGGGGCCAAAGCATTAGTAATGAACCAAAAGTTTGCATGGCCGTTGGGGTGAGGGACAAACTATTCTAAACTCTCAATACTTCACGAATCCCATCAACAAATGAGTCATGCCATTTCTTACGTTTCAAGGTTTTCAGATAATATTTCGAGGGCAGTGTGAGGACAAATTCGAGAAAACTTTTGAATTTAAAAGAATTATTGATTATGATTCTATCTTGTTGACCTTCAATGGTTTAAGATTTGACCTTGTTCTAGTTAGTTGTTAATGACTTTGTAAAGTTAAAATAGTTTGTTTTCTTGGGTATAATAAGGTCCTTTGTTAGTAGTTTACTAGTAAATAGACATCATCATTGACGAAACTTGATATAAAATATGAAAATGTTCCTTTACTAAACAAAATTTTAAAATTGGTAAATCTAAAATAAATTGAAATTTAAATCAAGTGATCAAGTAAAAAATCCAAAAAATCTTCTACGCTTAATCCACTTTCATACAGGGTGTCCCGTAAGTAAACGAATCCGGGAAATGTTTCTATGGATCTAAATAAAAAGAAAGTAATGAATAGAGTTTTCCCAAAAACGTTTTTTTACTAGGTATCTGTCATTTCTTATTGTTTACATTATCATTTTTACCTTAGATTTTTTTCTAATCGATCTATATGAAACTTAACTTGTATTTCAAAGCAATATACACCTATGTTAGAAATAAAATATATGTCGGATTTGGCATTTAAAAAGGGTTAGTGGGTCATGTTAAATATTATAACTTAGCTCGATAAATCTCGCCCATTAAACATATGGCCTCGAATATGTAAAATATGTAATGACTCACATTCTACTCTTGTTTAATAGTATATTTTGTACCTAGGGCCGAAAATTAGGTTTTGCTGGCTCGAAATAGTTTTTTAGTTCGTGATGAAGTCGAGAATTTAAAACGATCAAGAGCTGCAAACCCATTTTGCTCCGTGGTACGAACGATATTTTTCACCACACTATACCCTATTAGCACTATTCACCACAATAACAATGTACACTACCAGTCAACACAACTTTAAGGTTATGTGAAGAAATAATTTTCCGAATCAGTAAAAATAATGATAAACATTTGCTAGGACGCGGTGACAAAAAAAATCATATTTTCTACCCTATTTTTTACTGACAACTTTTATGGGTTATAACAGTTGTTATAGCTCATAATAAGACGCTCCATAAGTTCGAATTAGTAAAAAAATCGTATATTTGACAGAAATTAGTCATTTATACCAGCGCAATCTGTTATTGGCTCACATCAACTACGCCATTTTTTTTAACTGGCAACAACCACACTGTAAATAAAACATGTAACTGTAATTGAAAATTGAATCACTTAATAAACAGTTACTTGTAACTATGCATTCGCAAAATAAAAATAAGTTGAAAGTTGTTTTGAGAGGTTTCTTTACATGACACGTAATCTTGGTTACTAGTTTAGTCTGCTATATATAATGTTGCAACATGACGAAAAATTCATCACGAAGACAAAAAGTGACTTTTTAACCCTCGCTCACTTTCCAACCTCGACTTCTCCTCGATCGTAAAACTTGAGCTCGGATCGGATCGAAAAGAGTCACTTTACGCCCTAGTGATGGGATATGCTATTATGTCACTCTTAAATACTAGCAAACTCCAGTATGTACCAGCTTCACTCGCAACGTTAATCGAATCATATACTGGGACGAGGAGAATATTTTTACTTGGAAAATTCAGTATTACACCGACTGAAAGTGATAAGTATTTATCAAGGATTTCAATGCATAGCTGATATGTGGGTTCAGTATGTGAGCCTTTACGTTCGACCCTGATTTATGATAATTAAAATGGTTTAAATACTTTTTAAAATGTTCATCAGTGAGCCTTACAGCCCAGTTCAAATTATTTTTCAACTTGCTATTCAAATTCTGTAATGAAACGGTGAGCAATTTAATTTGTGTATATTTTTCTTATAACTTAACCAGCAGTTCTTCATATATTGTTTTACTTTTCATAGGTTAACTGGTCACTTCTTTAATATCCTTTTTATTTATGTGATTTTATAACACGAACCCTAGAGCAGGCCTTTTACTAGTAATTGATATTGTTTTAATTAAAAGACTTACCTTCAATTTGTTTAGTACATTAAGTTTAGTACTTTATATGGAAATAACCATTTTAGGCTTAAATCTTTGCAACTTTAGGAAATATATACATCTACTTTATGTTTTACTTTATGTTTGCCTTATATGTTTTAGACTTTTTCAGATTGCTCAGTTCTTCTTATGATAAATACATCGTGTTATGGAGCATAGTTATCTTCAAACTGAATTTAACAAAATTTGATAATGTTAATAGTATTGGAAATTACAGTCCAATGTTTCAATACAATCACGATCAGTTATTTGTCTACAAGCCACACACAGCCTCAAAGGCTTATATTCAAACAGATGAGGGCAAAGGTTAGAACTGCTCCGGTTGTTATTTGGTCTACTGATAATGGCTACAGGTTGAAAATCTTGTCGAAACAATCATTGACAATTGATTTTTAATTTTTATAAACTACTTTTCACTTTTAAAAAATACCTAAATTGAAAAGTGTTTCGTCATACTGCATCAAAAACAGTTTGTAATGCATGCGTTGTAGGTCTTAAGTAACATTTTTACTCTAAGCGTTTTTAGCCCCTGGGGAATAACAACCCGCTGTTGTCAACTCAGTTGTCATTTTATAGTAAGCAATCGCATGTACCGAAAGCATGAATCGAAAGTATGTATCAATAGTGTAATCACTTGGAGTAAAAATCAACTGTTAGTTGTAAATTTCGATTGTGGCAATCGTATCGATCGAAATTATTTGTCGGTTTATTTATTATGTAAGGTTTTAGCATAGACTAACCAACACAAGTAGACTTCTCATCCCATTGTAAATTGTGAAGCTAGTTTTTCATGTCTAGTTCATGTACGCCACACTGGGCGCTAGTGTCGACGAAATTTTGTTTCTATTATTTTAGGGTTAATTTCTTGATTTGTGCTTTACTGTTTGGTTAAAGGGGACAATTTATTGTTTATGATTAGATCATATTATTTGGTTAAACGAGGTTTTAAATGACTGTATTAACGGGAAACAAATTGTAAACAAAACACGACCTCTGCATAAACCGTACAGAACTAACAATACAATTGTCTTTAGCTGTTCCATTAGGATGAGAAATCTAATAAGGGAGTATGTTTTATCTATGGTTTTAGCCTATTGTTGTCGATCACTCAAAAATTTCAATGGTTTAATATACTGTAACACAATTCTTAGATATAGTATTCAAACATTTGATTTCAATAATCTATAGTTTATATTTTGTTTTGTCTTTTTCTAGCTGCTATGAAAATATGAACTTTTATAATTTTGACACATATGATTTTTTGGATGAATTGTTATGTTGTGATTAAAGAATAATAGTTTGGTAGCATTTTACTATGATTGAATATACTTTTCTTTTGTGAGTGATTAAATTATTTTCTGCTCAGTATCGAGTCCTTTTCTCTTTCCATTTTTGACTTTTAACAAAAATCGTAATGGACGAAATGATTGAATCACTTACTAAACAGCTGCTTAGTTGAATCAGCAGAATTGAAAACAGGCTGGAAGTCGTTTTGAGAGGTTATCGTTACATTATTTCGATTTCTAGCTTTGGTTGTTAATTAATTATGCAATATGACGAAAAATATAGTTCACCACACGGGCAAAAAGTCACTTTTAACCCCCTAGGCTTAGACTCAAACGTAAAACTTGGCCTTGGGTCAAAAAGACACTTTAGGCCCTAATGATGAAATATACTATTAAATGTCACCCTTTAAGATAAGTTAGCAATTCTTTACTATGAAGTTATCCAAACAGTGTCCAGCTGGAAGATGGAAAACTGTTTATGATTTTTTTATGGAATATGGTAAGGTCCTATTTATCGAGATTAGTGGGCAGAGTCCACATCTGGATCCGAGTAGCTAAATATCCGGATAATTTGAATTGAAAGAATACATCCTAACATCACGTGAATGCGAATGACGCCTGTAATAATAGTGCTACAAACTGCATGTAGCTATACCGAAAATAGCCCCACAAATATGTCAGGCTCTACGTAACATATTTTATTACAAGTTTAAATATTACAATAAAGTTTGTGAAAAAACACTACTGTTTTTAACTTCAGGTAATGAATAACACTTAAATTTAAACATATCTTATTTTAAATAACATTATTCTATTATTTTTTTCATACACAAAACAAGCCATACTGAACGAACAGTATCTTTATAAGTTTCATCAACTATAATAACATTAAAAGCTTAGGGAATACCGTAGTACATTTTGACTGTAGCAGCTATGAGTGAATCAATTAACTACACTCTTCTGAATTTAAAAAAGGAAGTAAAAAGCCTTTTTAATCTCTAGGGAGTAAAATTCAGCTGTTGTAAACTCAGTCTACTTCGATTGTTAGCAATCGTATTTGTCGAAATGTTGATCGATTGTAGCTTATTATTACATTCTTGTGAATAGTTCGAGATATTGATTTTATAACACAAACACAATCGTAGTTGTCGAAATGATTGACTAAACAACTTCATTAGCAAAATTTAAAAACAAGTTCAATGTCGTTTTGAGAGGTTATCTTTACCTGAAAACTATTTTCGTTTTCTAGCTTAATTTGTAAAAATTAATGATGTTGCAAAATGGCGAAAAATATGGTTCGTCTCACAGGCAATAAGTGCCTTTTCAAACCTTGCTAAAAAATAATCACTTTACGCCCTAGTGATGAAATATACTATATTTTTTCCACATAGTAACAAACGTAAGTAATCATTAAACATATTTAATTTATTTCAAAAGGGAATACATCTGACTT